CACCGGAGCCCCCCAGGGACCCCCCAAATTCTCTGATGCCTCCAAGGTGGTGGCCAAAGGTTTGGGGCTCAGCAAAGGCTTCGTGGGGCAGAAAAATTCCTTCACCGTGGACTGCAGCAAGGCAGGTGAGTGGAAAAAATCAACCAAAATGAGCTAAAATAGGCCCAAAAATCAGGCTGGGACAGGCCAAAAAATCAGGCTGGAATAGGCCAAGAATCAGCTTAAAATAGCCTAAAAATCACCTTAAAATAGGCCAAAAATTCCCTTAAAATAAGCCAAAAATCACCTTAAAAAAGCTCCAAAAATTACCTTTAAATAGCCCAAAAATCACCTTGGAACAGCTATAAAAATCAGACTGGAATAGGCCAAGAATCACCTTAAAATAGCCCAAAAATCACCTTAAAATAGCTCCAAAAATCAGCTTGAAATAGCTGTAAAAATCAGGCTGGAACAGGCCAAAAATCACCTTAAAAAATCTCTAAAAATCACCTTGAAATAGCCCAAAAATCACCTTAAAATAGGCCAAAAATCACCTTAAGAAAGCTCCAAAAATCACCTTAAAAAAGCTCCAAAAATTACCTTGAAATAGCCTCAAAAATTACCTTAAAGTTGCCCAAAATTCACCCTGAAACAGCCCCAAAACCTCTCAAAAAACCTGCAAAAAAATTCCCCAAAATCCCCAAAACCTTCAACAACCCCAAACCAGCTCCAAAAACTCGAACAAACCTGAAAAAAAACCAAGAAAAACTCAAAAAAAAAATCAAAAAAAATCCCACAAAAATTCAAAATAAATCCCAAAAAAATCCCCAAAAATCCCCAAACAATCCCAAAAAAAACCCCAAAAATAAAAAAAATCCTAAAAAACCAAAAAAAATCCCAAAAAAATCTCCAAAAATTCAAAATAAAACCCAAAAAAAATCCCCCCAAAAATCCCCCAAAAATACAAAAAAATCCCCAAAAAATCCCAAAAAATCCCAAAAAAATCCCCAAAAAAGCCAAAAATCCAAAAAAAATCCCCCAAAAATCCCCAAAACAATCCTAAAAAAGCCAAAAAAAATCCCCAAAAAATCCCCCCAAAAATCCTAAAAAATCCAAAAAAAATCCCCAAAAAATCCCCCCAAAATTCCAAAAAATCCCCAAAAATCCCAAAAAAATCCCAAAAAAAATCCCAAAAAAGTCCCAAAAAACCCAAAAAAATCCCCAAAAAAATCCCAAAAAATCCCCCAAAAAATCCCCAAAAATCCCCCAAAAAATCCCAAAAAAGTCCCCAAAAAATCCCAAAAAAATCCCAAAAAATCCCAAAAAATCCCCCCAAAATTCCCCAAAAAATCCCCAAAAATCCCCAAAAAATCCCAAAATATCCCAAAAAATCCTGTTTTTTTTATTTTTCCCTTTCCCAGGTAACAACATGCTGCTGGTGGGGGTCCAGGGACCCCGGAACCCCTGCGAGGAGATCGTGGTCAAGCACTTGGGCAACCAACTCTACAACGTGGGCTACCTGCTGCGGGAGCGCGGCGACTACGTGCTCGTGGTCAAGTGGGGCGAGCAGCACGTGCCCAACAGCCCCTTCCGCGTCTCCGTGCCCTGAGAGGCCCCAAAAAAACCCCCTGGGGGTCCCCAAAATCTGCGAGAAGTTCCCCAGAGTCGGTGAAAGTTCCCAAAAGTTCATCAGAGTTCTTGGAAGTTGGGTGGAAGTTCCTCAAAGTTCTCCAAACTTGGCCAAAAGTCCCTCAGAGTTGGTGAAAGTTCCTCAAAATTGGCCAAAAGTCCCTCAAAATTGGCCAAAAGTCCCTCAGAGTTGGCCAAAAGTCCCTCAAACTTGGCCAAAAGTTCCCCAGAGTTGGGCAAAGTCCCTCAAAGTTCTCTAAACTTGGCCAAAAGTCCCTCAAAGTTGGTGAAAGTTCCCCAAAGTTCCTCAAAGTTCTCCAAACTTGGCCAAAAGTTCCTCAAACTTGGCCAAAAGTCCCTCAAAGTTGGTGAAGGTTCCTCAAAGTTCCTGAAACATGACCCAAAGTCCCTCAAACGTGGCCAAAAAATCTCTCAAAGTTGGCCAAAAGTTCCCCAGAAATGGTGAAAGTTCCCAAAAGTTCATCAAAGTTCTCCAAACTTGGCCAAAAGTCCCTCAGAATTGGGCAAAGTTCCTCAAAATTGGCCAAAAGTCCCTTAAATTGGCCAAAAGTTCCCCAGAGTTCGTGAAAGTTCCCAGAAGTTCCTCAAAGTTCTTCAAACTTGACCAAAAAATTCCTCAAACTTGGCCAAAAGTTCCCCAAAAAATCCCCCAAAATTCCCCAAAGTTGCCCCAAAATCCCCAAAAATTCCCGCCATGATAAATTTGGGGACTTTTCCAGGATTTTGGGGTCGATCCTGAAACATTTCGGGGCCGTTCCCAGAGTTTGGGGTCACCCAAAATTGGGGGATCCCCTCCCCCCACCCCCCTTTTCAC